TAGTATTGTCTACCTATAAGAAACCACGTGGAATAATATGCCTACCTAACCCGCCCTCTCACCAAACCATCCAAAAGTCCAACTACCCAACACATGTAAATATGATTCTTCAACATTGCATTTATTGGACAAAATCAGTTTATTGATTGATAATCGAAAAGACAACAGCTACTGCAAAAATGTCTAATTTGGAGAAGTCAAAGCTTCATCTTGCCATGTTCCCATGGCTAGCCATGGGACACATAACTCCATTCATCCATCTATCCAATGAGTTAGCTAAAAGAGGTCACAAGATCTCATTTTTGTTGCCGAAAAAGGCTTTGATTCAACTAGGCAACAACAATTTGTACCCAGATCTAATCAAATTCATTGTTGTTACTGTTCCTCAAGTTGAGGGCCTGCCTCCAAGTGCAGAAACTGCTTCTGATATAGACATCACTGGCAAGAATCCACTGGCTATAGCCTTTGATTCCATGGCTGAACAAGTTGAATTATTGTTGAGTGATTTGATGCCTGATTTTGTGTTCTATGATTTTGCTGACTGGATTCCTAAATTGGCATCCAAGATTGGGTTCAAGACTATTTGTTATAATGTTATTTGTGCTTCATGTTTGGCTATTGGGATTGTTCCGGCTAGGAAAATTCCCAAAGACAGGCCCATGACGATTGAGGAACTGATGGAGCCACCCAAAGGGTACCCTTCTTCCACTGTGGTGCTCCGGGGGCAGGAGGCGCGTACCTTATCATTCATATCTATGGATTACGGCGCCACCACTTTTGATGTGCGGATCACAGCTGCAATGAAGGGTTGTGATGCAATTTCTATAAGGACTTGCCAAGAATTGGAAGGGCCAATGTGTGACTATTTGTCAAGCCAATACGGGAAGCCTGTGATTCTAACAGGGCCAGTTTTGCCAGACACGCCCAAGGGACAACTTGAAGAGAAATGGGACAAATGGTTAAATCAATTTGAGCCAAAATCTGTGGTGTACTGTGCATTTGGGAGCCAATTGATTCTCCAAAAGAACCAATTTCAAGAACTTGTACTGGGTTTTGAGATGACAGGGCTACCATTTTTCATTGCCCTCTCAAAACCAGCAGGTGCAAATTCCATAGAAGAAGCACTGCCAGAGGGTTTTGAAGAGAGGGTTAAAGGAAGAGGGGTTGTTTATGGTGGCTGGGTGCAACAGACTCAGTTTCTCGGCCACCCCTCTGTTGGGTGTTTTGTGAGTCATTGTGGATTTGGATCCATGTGGGAGTCTTTGTTAAGTGATAGCCAAATCGTGCTTGTGCCAAGACTTGCCGACCAAATCTTGAACACACGGCTGCTGGCGGAGGAGCTCAAGGTGGCGGTGGAGGTGGAGAGAGGTGAAATGGGGTGGTTTTCGAAGGAGGATTTATGCAAGGCCATTAAATCTGTGATGGATAAAGACAGTGAAGTGGGCAATTTGATCAAGGAAAACCACTCAAAATGGAAGGAAACTCTGGTGAGTCCAGGATATATGGACAATTACATAGATAATTTCATCAAAACTCTTTATGAGCTTCGGGTGTAATAAATTTGTACTCGTATTTTCTTCAAAGAGATTGGTATTTTGATTTTTGCATTATAATGATATGATTTTTGATTTCGCAATTTTTGAATAAAAATTTGCTTGATTTGAATAAACTTTTCTTTTTATCTTTTTAGCATTTTCCCATTTCATTGCGAAAATAATCATTTTCATCTAATTTTTCAATAAAAAATATAAAATAACAAATATACCTTTATATTTAAAAAAAAAATTAAAAAGAAAAATTAAAGAACAAATTGCAATCACACTCCGACAATTTTTTAAAAAGTGCAAATGAATCCAAATAAATTATTAAAAAGACAATTAGCACAAAATGTCAATACCTATTAATATTATTTTGCAAAACGTCCTTACTTTTTATTTTGATATTTTCACTCTTATTTTCACATTACATTGCGAAAATTTGATTTTCATCCATTTCCTCAATTAAAAGTTGTAAAATGACGAATATATCCTCATATTTAAATAAAACAAAAATAAAGAAAAGAAAAATAACAAACAAATTGCAATTATACTCCCAAAATTTTTTAGAAAATTTAATTATTTATTTGAAATTTATTTTTATTTTTTTGAAAAACGTGGGAATATTGTTGTAATTTATTCTTTATTATTATTTTTTAAACATTAGAGTATATTCGTTATTTTACAGCTTTTAATTGAAAAATTGATGAAAATGATGATTTTAAGATGAAATGAAAAAAAAAAGGTGAAAATGTCAAAAAAAAAAGAAGGAAAGATATGGATGTTTTGAACAATAATATTGAAAAGTAGGGACATTTTGTGTTCATTACCCTTTTAATAATTTATTTGAATTCATTTGCACTTTTTAAAAAAAGTTTGGAAGTATGATTACGATTTGTTCTTTAAATTTTTTTGTTTTATTAAATATGATGGTATATTTGTCATTTTACATTTTTATTGAAAAATTAGATGAAAATCATGATTTTCGTAATGAAATGTGAAAGTAGAGATGAAAAATGCAAAAAAAAAAAAAAGTATGAACGTTTTGCATAATAATATTGAAATATATGGACGTTTTATGCTAATTACTCATTTATAAAATTTTAGAAAATGATGTTATGTCAAAGGAAAAGAAGTACGCTACACAATTTTTTTTAAAAAAAGGAAGAAATAAAAATTATTTTTGACACATCAATTTTCAAGCTAATTTCGGAATATCAAATGAAGTCGAAATATTGCATTCTTAATACTATTTTGAAATGCTCTCGACCTAATTTTTCATGTCATTAACAGTGCGCAAAATAGAGAATATGGAGATACTATATTGGAATTCAGATGGTTCTGTTTTTTAAGAAGCCCCTACTTTTCTCACCTTAGAGGTATTTATAGGCACCTGTTACTACGCGTTCGGCGGTTGCTGGTGCC